TAGTAGCGATGCCAGGAGCCCCTAGTAGCCTTGCTCCTAGTAGCGATACGAGGTGCCCCTAGTAGCGTCCTTGCTCCTAGTAGCAAGGCCAGGAGCTAGCGATTGGTGAGAAACCCTAGACCCCTCCAGAAGATGAGGGTCCGACCCCTGCATATGAGGGTCCAGGGTTGCGTCTGGGCACCAAAGAGTGGCGTTGCTGGCCTCAAAGGTCGTCCACTCTAGATGGTCGCCGCCAGCCCAATGTTTGTGACTGCGATGAGCTGGTATTTCCCACAAAGGTTCCAAATCAACAAAAACGCCGCTGTAGAACATCAACTGCATTTAAAAGAAGAAGAAAGGAGACTCAGTAGTTACTCTGTCTACTCGTGTGTCAGCAGCCACCACAAGTGCCCGTTTCTGACAGATCGGCGTTGAGCCCCACATTTTCTTCAGCCCGGCGCTTTGGGGCTGGGAGCTGGCCCTTTTGCTACTAGGAACAAGAAGCTACTAGGGGCTCCTGGCCTTACTACTAGGAGCAAGGACGCTACTAGGAGCTCCTGGCCTTGCAGACTGCGGGGTTGGGAGCTGGCCCTTTTGTTCGCAGACTGTGGGGCCCTCCCATTTTTGCTTTCATGCCGTCGCCGCTTGCTCCACCCCTGCTTTTCCCCTCCGAGTGATTACCTGTAGGCCACCCATTTAGAGGGAGTCCTGCTCAGATGTCCACGGCTTTCATGAAGGTGCTAGACATGTGTGATTAGCTGCATTTGAGATGTGTTTAATGTGTTGGAAACAAGAGCCATGATATTTACATGGCACCTGCAAACACCGTGGAGTGCCAGATCAAAGATGTTTTTTTGTGCACATAAACTCGTCAAACTACCGGCATTGAGTTCTTTTGTCAGACACGGTTTAAGAATATTGATATTCGGGGGAGCACTGCAAGATGCTGCAAGTGAAAGTATAGCAGGATGCCAGATCACCGGCCGCAAAAGGAGTCATCACGTATCAGAGACAGGATGACACATGAATGGAAAGCCAGCAAAACAGAAATAGTGCGCACCTAGGAAAGTACAAGCACAAACACTCCTACCTCAATCTATAGAAATTCGTTTGAGAGTTGATCACAAATCACAGCCAGAACCGCAACTCACCAGCGTCGGAGCAGCAACAGCAGCGCAATTTGAAGAAATCCGCCCGCACTGAAGGTGTCGAGGCGTGGCTCGAACAAACCGTAAGAAATCTGGAGGATCCTGAGCGTTAGCTTGGGGGGTTCATGCGCGGGAAATGCTGTGTTTTGCAGTGTGTTTGGAAGATTGATAATAAAAAAATGATAGGGTTTTGGACCACACGTTGGCGATGCCGGTTACGCAGGCTGGGTGCGATTGCGTTATCGACATCGCTGACGTATGTGTAACCCGGGAACACTGCATTATTGGCATCGTGGGTGTGTTCGTCCGTGTGTCCTGCCCGACCGAGACATAGACTGACAGACAGACCGAGACAGATAGACGGAGACAGACCGAGACATACCGAGACAGACACACCGAGGCAGAACCCTCAGTGAAGGGGCTGGTGATTAG